CTACTACTCTCTGTGTTCTGTTAGTGAGGAAATTATAGATCCATCGACCGCTTTTCCTGTTATTCCTTTAGCACGCATTTTGTGCGCAAATTACGCCATGGTCACTTGTCAAAGGGCTTTTGCAAAGTTGTATATATTACATCTGCATCTTTTTGTCTTCTAGTGCATTTAGGACCTTGTCGTAGTGATCCAATAGTTGAGACAGACAGGAGCGACCTGTTCTTAAACCCATGTTGCCCCGGGTTGTGTAACTGATGGGTTTCTAGATGGGTGTGACTTGCTTCTTAGGACCCTTTCAAAGATTTTTATGATATGGGATGTTAGTGCTATTGGTCTGTAGTTCTTTTTTTGTTTTCTTTACTGCCCCTTTGTGGAGTGGGGCTATGTCTGTTGTTTTTTGTAACTGTGAGACGACCCCCCTGTCCATGCTCCCTCTCCATAGGATGGAAAAGGCTCGTGATAGGGGCTTCTTGCAGTTCTTAGATGAACACAGAGTTCCATGAGTCCCGGGCCCCGGGGGGAGTGCATGGGCATGTCATTTATCGCCTGTTCGAAGTCATTTGGCGTCAGGATAACATCGGATAGGCTTGTGTTAATAAAATTTTGTGGCTCTCTCATAAAAAATTCATTTTGATCTTCGACTCTCAGTTGGTTAGCGGCTTGCTAAAACTGAGTCATACTGGGGCTTGAGTAGCTACTCATTTCCTTTCTTCATCTGTGTAGGACCCATCTTGTTTAAGTAGGGGCCCAATATGGACGTTGTTCTCGATTTTGATTTGGCATTAGGAGAAGAAATACTTTGGGTTTCTTTCGATTTCATTTATGGCTTTTAGTTCTTCCCGCGATTCCTGACTCCCCAAAGGATTCTTTTAGCTTAAGTTCGATTTCTTGCTATTTCTCTGACCAGTGTCTCCCTACGCATTTCAGATATATTGACCTCTTTTAGCCGCTCTGTTATTCTTTTCCGTCGCCTGTAAAGGGAGCGCCTGTCTCTTTCTATTTTACATCTACTCCTCTTTTTCTTAGAGGAATAAGCTTGTGCAAACATCGAGTGCCACGAGTTATTCTGTTCTAGGAATTAAGTTGGGGTCTGTGTTGCTTAGTTTATCTTCCCAGCTTTTTCACGGTTAGAATTGGTTCTACTTGGTCCTCATTTTTGTTTTTGTTTTGAAGTTGATTTGGTGAATGCTCCCTCGTGACTAGTCTCATTATGTCGGTCTCGGGGCCTCCACGCACACATGTCTGAACCTCATTTATGTTGTGATCTGAGTATATTGTTTTTGATATGGTGACATTTCTTATCAGATCATCATTGTTAGTGAAGATGAGGTTTGTGTATTCTCCAGTCTAGTAGGCTCTATTATTTGCTGGTTTTTAATGTAATTTTGAGCAGAGATTTAAAAGCTCGTGTGAGTGTGAGTTTTCATCAAGAAGCAGCCTCCTGTGTATTACTGCAGCAATATTATTTGCTATATTCTCCATTTTTGGTGCCTTAAGTTGAAAATCCCCAAGGAGCAAAGATGTTGGTGCAGGAGCTGGAAGATTTTCCAGGACAAGTGGACAATTTTTAACAGCTGTTCCTGGAATTGCTGGGATGTTGCATCCGGAGGGCTTGTAGATACCACAATGGATAGGTTTTGGTTCTCGACCTTTACTGCTAAAACTTCCACTACATCATTGAGGCCATTTATGGAGTTCTGTGCAACATGTGGATCTGCAATGTACAGGCCAACCTTCCCCCTTTTGCCTGGTCACTCTGTTCTATCATCTTGTATAGGTTGGTAACCTGGGATCCATATTTTCGTTGTCCAAGTGATCCTTTTATGTGGGGCTCAGTGTGAAAGCCGCGGAACATTGCCTTTGCCTCTGCAAGCAGTTCACGGATGAAAGGTATTTAGTTGTTTGTGGTGGCTTTAGACCCTGTATTATTTGCAAGAAGAATGTTATCGGGACTGGTGTGGTTTGTTGGTCCTGGGGGGTGGATTTTTTTCCGGCATTTGTATATGTTATCTGTTTGGTTGGGAAGTGGAGGCCATCGACTGGGTTTCCACTCCAGGAATGACTGGATTTAGTGTACTCGATTTCTGACATTTCCATGCAGTTTTTTTTCCTTCCTAGGCACTTAAAAAACCTCTCCACTCTTTGAGTGGGGCTGTGGCTACCCGGTTTTACCATGGCCTGGATGGTTTTGTATCTTTTTGTCCAATTTAGATGGTATGCCTGGCAATTTAAGTTATAGCACAGTCTTTCATGTTACTGTGAGGGTACTCTGTTTCAGGGTTGAAAAAGCTTACAGGAAGGGAGTTTTGCATTTTCCTGTTGTTCATATGGGCATGGACATTTTCTAGGGTGGTATGTTGCTACGTCCCATATGTTTTTCCAGATTTCCCATGCCAGCAGATACCAAGTGCATAGTATGGGCACAGGCTTCGGTTTTAGTTTTGCATTGGGTTTCTGTACTGTTATTCCATGTTGGAGAATGTTTCCCTGTATTACTGCTGGGTCCTACCTAGCCACAACTATGGAGCTCCCCATTTGTTTTTGATAATATATCTCACTATTGCTTGTGGAGTCCTATTGCTTGCTTTTTCCTGCGGTATTTAGTTGGCAATATTGGTTTGTTTTATCTTATCTTTGGACTACATTGTTTTCCCTCTATGGCTCCTTGTCCTATGAGGTCATTTATATGTATTCACCTTCCTGCGATATAGTTCCGACTACCTGGACAAAATCTCCAGTTTCACCCTTTCTGGTCTCCAGGACTGCCATCTCAGCTTTCCCATTACTGTCTCCAGGACGGCACCCTCCGATTCACCATTACTGTCGCCCAGGACAGCACCTCCAGCTTCACCAGTACTGTCTCCCAGGACAGCACTCCAGCTTCACCATTACTGTTCTCCCAGGGACAAGCACCTCCAGTGCTTCACATTACTGTCTCCGGACAGCACCTCCAGCTTCACATTACTGTCTCCCAGGGACAGCACCTTCCAGCTTCACCATACTGTCTCCCTCAGGACAGCACCTCCAGCTTCACATTACTTCTCAGGACAGCAACTCCAGCTTCACCATTACTGTCTCCCAGGAGGAAGCACTCCAGCTTCAACATTACTGTATCCAGGTCAGCACCTCCAGATTCAACATTTACTTGTCTCCCTTTACCGGGCAATGTTTCTGTCCTACTGCAGTGCAGGATTGGGAATAAAACACAACAACTTTGTTGGGGAGGAGACGATCTCGCCACTAACAGGCTTTCTTTATCAATCCTGGAGTATAACTGGAGAGGATTTCGGGGAACAACGGGGGGGGCACCGCGGTACGGTTCGCGAACCAGGCCTCGTGGTGAATCAGATCCTGATCAACCAGGCTGATTACTAATGGCTCCGCGCCGTCGCAAAACCGACGTACGAACCATAACTTTAGGTGCCATGTCCAGCGCCTTGATGACAGGCCAGGAGTCTATTTGTACATCCCTCTATGCGATGCTGGATGGCAGTTAAACAGTCTTGAGCCCCTGACACTTGTTATGTTGTCTCTTAGTGTACTCGTAGCGCTCCTGCTTGTCACTGGGGGGATGTTGCATCTCCTGCCAAGTCTTTTGCTTTCGTAGTGAATGATTCGCGTGTGCAAATTTGGGACTAGTCCCTCTAAGATTTTCCAAGTGTATATTATTTTTTATCTTTCTCCTCGTTCTGCGCTTTCCAGGCGAGTTACAAATCAGGGCCTTTAAACCGTTCCGATAATTTAGGTGCTTTATCGTACATAAACGTGCCGTGAATGAGAGTTCTCTGTACATTCTTCAGGTCTGCAATTTCACCTGCTTTGAAAGGGGCCGTTAGTGTGCAGCAGTATTAAAGCCTAGAGAGAACATGTGACTTGAAGAGAATCAGGCATGGGCTTTGGCCATCTTTAGTTTGAAGGTTCTCATTATCACTATCATTTCTCCTTGCAAATGGGTGATAGCATTGTTGTGAAAATTGAAAGTGTGGTCCTCTGACATTATCACTCCCAGGTCCTTCACATTAGTTTTTCGTTCTATTGTGTGATTGGAATTTGTTTTATACTCGGATTCACTTTTAAATTCCTCGAGTTTTCCATATCGGAGTAATAGAAATTTCTCTTCACTAAACTTCATATTGTTTTCCGCGGCCCATGTAAAGATCTGGTTGATATCCGCCTAGAATCTTGCAGTGTCATCAGTGGATGACACTGTGATGCAAATTTGGGTGTCATCCGCAAAGGAGGACACGGTACTGTGGCTTACATCTCTGTCTATGTCAGATAAGAGGATAAGAAACAGGATGGGGGCGAGTACTGTGCCTTGTGGAACAGAGCTTTTCACTGTGGCTGCCTCAGACTACTCTGTTTACTATTACCCTTTGTGTTCTACTTGTTAGGAAGTTATAGATCCATCTACCAACTTTTCCTGTTATTCCTTTATCACGCATTTTGTTCGCTATTACACCATGGTCGCACTTGTTTCAAAGGCTTCGTTAAAGTTGTGTATACTACATCTGCATTTTTTTGTCCTCCAATGCCTCTAAGACCTTGTCATAATGGTCCAGTAGTTAGGTCAGGCAGGTGAGACCTGCTCTTAACCCATGTTGCCCTGGGTTGTGTAATTGATGGGTATCTAGGTGGTTGGTGATCTTGCTTCTTAGAACCCTTTCAAAGATTTTTATGATATGGGACATTAGTGCTATCGGTCTGTAATTTGTTTGCAATTGCTTTACTGCCACCTATGTGGAGTAGGGCTGTCTGTTGTTTTTAGTGAGGTTCGGATGACCCCTGTGTCTATGTTCCCTCTCCATGGAATGCTGAAGGCACGTGAAAGGGGCTTCTTGCAGTTCTTGATGAACACAGAGTTACTGGATAGGATTGATAAACTAAACTTTTCCAATAAACGTTCTGATTGTGCATATGCGTTATTCCCACAATCTGTGGGTATTAGCATGCAGGTACTTGTACACTACTGCATTGTATTTGACTGGTACTGCACACAGATAATAGTGGCGTTGTTGACGTCTTGGCTGGTGTGTTGGGTATTGACTGTCACTGACACGTTTCCTCCGGGCTGCCCTTCTCGCACTGACCGCTCCACCCTCATCAGCAATACTCCCTGGTTCAGGATACCATACCCAGGTAAGTAAGCCATGCCAGAAAAATATGCATACTATCGTGGCTGAAAAAAAATTACAACAATCCAAAATTTGCAGGGGAAATGTTAGGCTACTTTTCGGTTCGTTCGTTATCACTCTCATTGTTTGTTTGTTTTTGTGTTTGTGCAGGACAGTGGGGGATGCCGACAGTGACTGTGGCTGGGGTGTTGGGGATGATGGTGGCGGGTCTGGCCTCCATCATAGAGAGTGTTGGAGACTACTACGCCACCGCCAGGATCTGTGGTGAGTACACACACACACACACACACACACACACACACACACACACACACACCACACACACACACACACACACACACACACACACACAACACACAACACACACATACACACACACACACACACACACACACACACACACACACACACACACACACACACACACACACACACACACACACACACACACACACACACACACACGCCAGTGTAGTGGGTCACAAGCGACAGGCTCCGAGAATCTTAGTGCTTTTAGGGCGTGTTTTAGCAGCTAGAAGCAACCAGTGTTAGTGACAACGTCAGTGAACAACCCTACAAGTGATAACCAATGTATTAGCAAAAATAAATAAAGTAAAGGCGAGGGAAAGCCTGAAATTATACAACAAAATTTCAAAGTGCCTGTTCGTTGAGGCCTAGTTGGCACCTGTTGCCACATTGTTACACATATACAAAGTACAAAGCGAGTGACTAAAGAGAAAAGACCAAATAGAATTAAGAGAGGGTGGCTAACGACAAAATGTGATGTAGCACACAGCGTGAACAAGCTAGCCAGAAAGGGGATATATATATATATATACATTCAATACATAAATATAAGCAGAGGTGGTGGCAGCAGTAGGCCTGAGGGAGTAGCCCTGCCATAACAGGTTGGGTGTCATCACAAATAAGTAGTGTACTTACCAAAAGTGAAGTGTAAATTATAAAAGTAGCAGTATACAAGTGATAAGTGGGTAAATGGGACTCAAAAGGGCAACGAGATAAGAATAGCGAAGAAACCAGTGGAGGAAGGGCCCAGGTGCACAGTCATCGTACAGCAAAAGTACAGCGGCATGTTTTTTTTTGGGCTTTCCCCCCCCCCCCCCCCCGGGGCCTGCCGCCCCTTACAAATTTGGGTTCAGGATCCTTAATAAGGGAGCCTCCAAAAATAGAACTTTCAAAAAAAATTCAACCCAAATTTCGGGGTTTTTAGGTTCTTTTCTTTTCTCATACTCATTTTTTTTTTTTTTTTTCCTTCCCAACTTCTTTTTTTTTGGGGGGGGGGGTCTCCTCCTCAAAAATTTTAACTCTCCCACCCCATCTTTTTCCCACCCCCCCCCCCCCACCCACCCCACCCCCCCCCCCACCCCCCCACCCCCCCCCTTCCCTCCCCCCCCCCCCCCCCCCCCCCCCCCCCACCCCCCACCCACCCCCCACCCTCCCCCCCTTTCCCCCCTCCAAATTCTTTTCTTTTGGGCGTTTTTCCTAAAACCCTTTTTCCTTCCCCTCTAAAAACCAATTTTCTTGGTCGAGGGGGAAAGCCTTTTTCCCCTTTAAAAACCCCTTTCTTCCCGTTCCCACTGTTGCCCTTTTTCCTTTCCTCCCCCTCCTCCTTTTTTTAACACTTTTCCCCCCTCCTCCTTTTTTAAATTTCTTCTCCTTTTCCCTTCCTTCCCTTTTCCCTCCTCATTTTTTTCTCCAAAAAGTTTCTTCCTTTTTTTTCTTTCTTTTTTTTTCTCCCCTTCCCTCCCTTTCCCCCCCTCCTTTCCCTTTTTTCCCCCCCCCCTTTTCTTTTTTTTCCCTTTCCCTCCATTTTTTCCCTGCCCGACTCTCCTCCCCTTTTTTTATTTTTTTTTTTCTTTTTTCCCCCCTTTTCCCTTCCCCTAGGGGCCCTCTTTTCCCCACCCTTCTTTTTTACTTTCTCGAGTTGGGGGGGTAAAAAAAAAACCCCCCCTTTTTTTTTTAAAAAAAAAACGGGGGGGGGCCCCCCTTAAAAAAAAACCCCCCCCCCCGGGGGGGGGGGCCGTTTTGGGGGGGGGGGGGGAAAAAAAAAAAAAAAACCCCAAAAAAAAGGGGGGGGGGGGGGCCCCCTTTTTTTTCCCCCCCCAAAAAAAAAAAACCCCCAAAAAAAAAAAAAAAAAAAAAAAAAAAAAAAAAAAAAAAAAAAAAAAAAAAAAAAAAAAACCCCCCCCCTTTTAAAAAAAAAAAAAAAAACCCCCCCCCCCAAAAAAAAAAAAAAAAAAAAAAAACCCAAAAAAAAAAAAAAAAAACCCAAAAAAAAAAAAAAAAAAAAAAAAAAAAAAAAAAAAAAAAAAAAAAAAAAATTTTTTTTTTCCCCCCCCCCCTCCCCCACCCCCTCTTCCCCCTCCCCCTCCCTCCCCTTCCCTTCCCCGCCCCGTCCCCCCCTTTTCCCCCCCCCTCCCCCCCCCCCCCCCCCCTCCCCCCCCCTCCCCCTCCCTTTTCCCCCCCTTCCCCTCTCCTCCCCTCCCCCCCCCATTTCCCCCCCCCCCTCCCCCCCCTCTCTCCCCTCTTCTCTCTCTCCCCCTCCTCTCTCCCTCCTCTCCTCTTCCCCCTCTTCCCTCTTCCCTCTCTCTCTCCCCCTCCCCCTCTCTCTCTCCCTCTCTCTCTCTCCCTCTCTCTTCTCCCTCTCTTCTCTCCCTTTTCCCCCCTCTCTCTCTTCCCTAACCCCCATACTCCCCTCTCTCTCCCTCTTTCTACCTTTTCCCCTCTCCTCTCTCCCTCTTTCTCCCTTTCCTCTCCCCCCCCCCCCCTCCCCCCTCCTCTGCTTCTGTCTTGGGGTAATAAAAAAAAAAAAAAAAAAAAAAAAATGGGTGGCCCCCTTAGAGGACAAAAAAACCAGAATCTGGTAACGAACCAGGGGGGAAAAAGATGGGAGTTAGACTCCAAAAAAAGGGAAAAGGAAAGGGGGAAGGAAGATAGTAGAGTTGGTAAAAAAATGGGGAGCGGATGCAAAGAGTGCAGGAAGTGGGAAGAAAGGGTCTTGCAGCAGAAGAGGTTACAGTGCTTAGAAGAGAAACTGCAAAGGGCCTGAAACAGTTAGAGAAAAAATGACAATTTCAGATGTGACATCGGGAAATTAAAAGTCAGGCGCAGAAAAAGGGAGGTAAGCAAAAAGGGAGACATCCCGTACAGAACCCCCTTCAACCCACGGGGGGCCGGGGAAAAAAGAGACGACACACTAAGAAAAGCGCGGGTCCGAGGCAATGAAGGTATGCTATATGCAGAGATTCTAACACCCCACGCAGTAGCAAGGGACAGCTGTCAAAAAGACAGTTCATGAAATAAAGTTTCAGATATGACAGGGACGAAGGCAAAAAACATGTCAAGGGAAGGAAAAAAAATGCCTCGAGGACACAGAGGAGATCAGGGGGGGGGAGGGGAAAAGGGCGGGTCCTTTTTGTGTGGGGCTCCAAAAACCCCAAGGGGGGCCAACTTTGAAAAATAAAACAGGAGGAAAAAAAAAATGATTGAAGGCATTTTGAAACAATGGGGGAGGGCAATATGCCCCAGGTGAAAAATTTTTTCGGAATTGGTTGGTTTGCAAGTGGAAAGGGAAAAACGGCCTGTCAGAGAAATTTTCAAGGAAGAATCAGTTGAACCAGGTTCTGAAAGGGAAAGCAAGATGGGGACAAAGAGGGGTACCAAGGTATACTCGACCGCACAGAACACAGAAAAAAGGACTACACTGAAAGGGGGGTTTACGAGACGAAAGGAGGAAGGGAAGAAATGAAATGAGGGGCCCCCAGACAAGGGAGGAAGGGAAAAACACCCCCCACAGAATCTCCCCCCAAAAGACTCCACCCGCGACTTTCCCCCAACGCACCTGAAAACCCTATACTAAACCACTCATTTCCCTCACCACCCCCCCCCATATCAAAAAACCTCACCCCAACAGCGCCCTTATGGGCTTCGACCCCACCCCATCAACACAAACCCCACCTACACACAGCCCCAATAGGCCCCCACCAAGGCCCCCCTTCCCCCAAACCCCCAAATTCTTGCAGACCACAAGATAGAAAGAAACTAAAGGTTTGGTAAAAAAAAACGCGGAGGAATAACAAATAAAATGAGGAGTGGAAAAAAAATCAGTGAAAAACCCCCAGACATCATAGCAGTCACAGAAACAAAACTCGCTGAGACTAACAACACAATTTTCCCCAACAGGAAATCAGATCCTGAGGAAAGATAGGGGGAAGTAGAGGGGGAGGGGGGGTTTGCACTGCTCAAAAACCCCGATGGGGATTTGAGGAAAGGGAAAAGGCATGGAATGTTGGAAGAAAGAAAACTACTTTGTAGACAATTCAGTCCGGAAAATAAAGTATCATTGGAGGATGTAAAAACCCACCAAAAAAAACTGCAGGGGCCAAGAGGAGTACGAAGAAAACAACAGGGTGATGGTGGACAACTGGCGAGGTGGCAAGAAGGCTCACTCGGCAGACAAAGTTACTGGTAATGGGCATTTCAACCACAGGGAGATCGACGGGGAAAAAACCGGAGCCACATGGGGGCCCCAAAAACATGGGGCCAAGATGAGGTTGGGGTACTTGAAAACCTCATGATAAAAAGGGTAGGGACACAACCAAGAGAGGGGGGAGAGACCCGAAAGACTGGATCTTGTGTTCCTTGAGCAGTTGGACTTGGGACATCACTTACGAGGGGCCCTTGGGCTAGGATCATTGGTCTGAGTTTTGACTATTTGTAGAGTTAACAAGGGGAAGGTAACGGAACTAAGGGGACGGGCCCAAAACTATAAAAGGGGGACTACACGGGTTAGAAAACTTCCTGCAGGAGGTTCAGTGGGACGAAAAAAGGTGGGAAAACAGTAAACGAGATGAGGGAAATAGTGGAAACCCCAAAGTGCAAGGAGGCAGGGGAAAGTTTTGTTCCGGGGGAAACGAAATAATGGGAAGCCCAAAAAAAGAGTCCTTGGTTTACCCGAAGGTGTAGGGGGGGCAAAAACTAAGTGCAACAGAAAGGGAAAAAGGGTACAGGGGCTAGGCCCCAGGAAAACAAGGAATTATTTGAAGGCCAAAAACGAGTTCACAGATAAGGAGGGGGGGGGCCCAGCGAATTTGAAAACGACATAGCATCGAAAAGTCAATCTACCGAAACTGTTGTATAGCCACATTAGGGGAAGATAACAGTCAAGGACCAGGGAAAGGTGGGGGAAAGAAGGGGGAGAACTCAAAAGAAACGAAAAAAGGGTATGTGGGACCAAACACGAG